GGTAGCGGGACTTCTCCTCCCACCACCTCCCAGACTCACTATCCATCCACTCATTAACATACTGAAAGCCAAATCTCCCCTGACCTCCTTCCTGTGGCTTTCGCCCTAGCAAATTAGGTACCCACCTATCTTCCCATATTCGTGTGTTTGTGCCATTGCCAACCCTCCAGCAGCTTGCTTCCTCTCGGGATCAAGTCTCGAGCTGCAAAAAGACTCTGCCACGTGTAACTAGGTCTGTACCCTATCGCAGCTTCCATGATGTTCGAATTTTTTACAGTACTTCGACCTTAGAATCCGACCAATGAGGGATTCCAGATTTTGTTGTAGCTGCCAAACTTATTTAGCTAATAAAGCTTTTTTGAAAGCATCTAATTCACATAAAACCATTCCCCCATCATCCATGTCCTTACACATGAATCTCCAATTCTTCCAGTGGATTCTATTCTTCTCCCCATTCTCACCCCACCAGTAATTTGAAATAATGCTATTGATCTCCCTAATCAGGCCAGCTGGGAATTTGAAAATGGACATTGCAAAGTTACCTTGAGCCAAAGCCACAATCTTAATCATCACGTCCTTCCCTGCCGCTAGGGATGGCAATGGGTCGGGTTTTGCCAAACCCAAACCAAAAATCACTCGGTTTATCTGTGAAAAAAACCCGGGGGTAAAACCCACTGGGTTTGAAAAACTCAAACCCAACCTAACCCGCAGGGTATCCGCGGGTTGATGGGTACCCATGGGTTTTTGTCGTAGAAAATTTACAATAACAAGTTGCTATCAAAATAAAAGTCAAATATCAATCTCTCAATACAAATTATCCATATATAAAACACCATTCTAAAAAATTCAAGCAAATCACAAATTAACCATACAAATTATTTAACACCAATAAAGAAAACTCAATAAAATTGAAGCAAATTATAAATTATCCATAAACAACATGATTAATTGAAAACTCCTTTCTCCTTGTCAATTAAGCTTCTTCACTCTCCACTCGATAGTATCAACTTCATTCTACACAATTATAAAGAAAAAATTAGACATGTCTCCAGAAACATAAAGAAGATTAGTTGTTTAGAATATTAAATATAGCAGGAAAATTAATTATATGGGTGTGGGCGGGTTTACTTAAATCCAAATCCAACCAAACCCGGTGAATAGTGAACAAGTTTAATCCCGAACCCGACCCAAAATCCGTCAAAACCGATTTTACCCGCGTTGACCGGGTTGGATAGGGTAGGGTACCCGTGGGTTCGGGTTTTGTTGCTATCCCTACCTGCCGTTGAGATTAGCCTTCCTTTCCAACCCATTATTCCTTCTTGGATCCTCTCTTTAATGTATGAAAACACCACCTTCTTCGACCGTCCCACTACCATCGGAAGACCCAAATACTTCTCATGCTTTGAGGCTTCCCGAATGCCCAGAATATTCTTAACTTCTTCCCTCCTCTGCTGGTCCACATTGTTGCCAAGCGTTAGTTCTGATTTTACAAGATTTATCATATGTCCCGACTCTTGGTCATAGTCGTATAGGATTTGTTTGATCTTCTTGCTCTTTTGATGACTGCTCTTGCGAAAAACAATCTATCGTCGGCAACCAAGAGGTGTGACACAGAAGGCCATTCTGACTCACCTTCAATCCATGTCATTCGTCCTTACTTTCATCATCCTTAATCATGGAGGATAACCCTTCTGCACATATTAGGAAAAGATAGGGGGACAAAGGACACCCCCTGTCCCAGTCCCCTAGTTGGGTTTATCGATTCCGTTTTGTTTCCATTAACCAGAATTGAGTAACTGACACTAGTAATAGAACCCATAAAGAGGTCTATCCACCGCTGCTCAAAACCCAAAATTTCCATAACTCTCTTCACAAAATGCCAATCTACTCGATCGTAGGCTTTGGCCATATCCAGTTTTGCCACCAAGTGCCCTCACTTTGTCTTTTTCTCCTTCTTCTCCATGGTATGAAAGCACTCGAACGCAACTAGGATGTTATCATAAATTGATATCCCAGGCACAAAAGAACTCTGAGTTTCTGAGATAAGATGATTGAGTATTACCTTTAACCTGTTAGCCACTGTCTTTGAAAGAATCATATATATGATGTTGCAAAGACTTATTGGTCGGAAGTCCTTTAGAGCTTTTGGACTCTTCATCTTGGGAATTAGGCACGACATCTTTCTGTTTAAAATTGTTGGGATGTAACCCGATTCAAGATAGTGCTAAATCTCCTCCATAACCTGCTTCCCCACAGTGACCCAGTGCACCTTGTAAAAGAGGTCTTGGTAGCCGTCTTCTCCTGGAGCTTTCATAGATCACATCTCCCTCAAGGCTTCCTCAATTTTTAGCAGCCGTGAACTGTTTCGCAAGCCACTCGTTCATTAAGCCATAAACTCTTCTTGGTACTGTATCCGTAACTCTCTTGCTTGTCAACGAGGCATTTGCTTATCTATTCTTGCCCTAGAAATATTCTTCCCTCCTTATCAATGAGATTCTGAATGGTATTTCTAATTTTTCGTTACGACACACGTTTGTGGAAGAATTTTGCATTTTATTCAGGCTCAATTGTACCTTTTTTACCCCCAGTTTCCTTAGTCGTTTGAGGCATTTTTACTCCGGGAGGTTTGGTTTTACGCTAGGTTTTGTCTCGATTTTGTGTATTTCACTCTATAAGTGGAACCAACCCCAGAGTCGAAGGTTGGACGAAAGAAGAAGAATCGGGTCAAAGGATTGGGGCAGTAGCAGATTGCGGTGGAATCTGGTAGTTCTCGGTCATTGCGATCGTGTAGTGGAGCCGCAAACCGTGAACCCAAGCTAGTTCACGGTTGTAAGACCATGCACCCAAGCTGCAGATCGTGAACTGGATTATTGAGATGGCGCGTTTTGGCCTAGGATCACGGTCCACGCCTTGAGTTCACGGGCGTGAACTGGGACTGTGATGTGAGCCCGACCTAGGTATAAAAAGGGGTTTGAGCTGAAGGAAAAAAGAGGAGAGACCTAGTGTGAGAATCTTCTTCTTCTTCTTCTTCTTCTTCTTCTTCATATTTCTAGAGTGAGAAAGTGACAAAGTAAAGAAGAGAAGAATCTAGGGTTTAATCTCTTCAACACAAGGAGCAAGGCTAGCATCTCCATGATGGTTTTCCTTCTTCTCTCTTGTGTTTTCCCTTCTCCTAGCATGAAGTAGTCCCTTATTTCACTTGGGTGTTAGTAAACCCTAGGTACAATTATGTGAATGTTTCTATGGATGTTTAGATGTGTTTTAATGTGAATTTGGAGGTATTTTCATGAAAGATTTTGTTGTGTGTTTGCCTATCAATCTATTGCCCATTCTAACCTAGGTAGAGAGAAAACCCCCTTTCTTTGAAAGAGGCTTGTAAAGCTGGGTTTTCTTATGCAAATCTTGTCTCCTATCTAGGTTAATGTAGGGCAACCCTCTTTGTTCGTATTAGCACCTAGGGTTGGTAGTAATTTGGCCGTCCGAACTCCGATTCAAGGGTGAAGTCTTGGAAACTTGTTGCACTTCCTTACAGTTAACAACCTCCTTACCACACGTGTCCATTTGATCCGACGAGTGATAATTGCTAGCTAGGGGGAGCAACACCCAGGTGAAGCCTTTTCAATTGGTGTCAAATCCATTTACTTTTTCAAACGTTTAGCTATTGATCGTTGTTTTCACCAAAAACCAATCGCTAGATAATGTTAGAAACAATAGAAGTAGGTGTACATGAACCAACTTGGGTTGACATTTTAACATACTTGCCGTATATTGCACCCAATTGAGGTTTATACTTGGGCCTTAATTGGGATTTTCATTGAGATATTCGAGACGAGTCTAGTTTTTGGCACCGTTGCATGGGACCAAACGGTTCATTATTTTGAAAAGATTGTTTGGTGTTAATCTAACTTTTTACTTTTCGTTTTTGTGTTTGTGAATCTTGCTTGTGTTAGACGAGTTGCGGTTTTTTGAGTGTGTGCAATGAGGTGTATGACCCAGAGTAATCCGACACCTTTGGCGCCACTGGATGAGAATCTCAACCGCACTCTCCGATTCTTAGCTCGTGAGAGGAAACTAGCGGAGGCAAGATGGAGGATAGAAGAAGAAGTTGTAGTTCAGGAAGAGTTTGATTCCGAAGAGGAACGAAGTGAAGCTGATATGGCGGCTAACACCATGCTCCAGGTGGAGCGGCCGAAGAGGAGCAACTAAGGACCATGGGCTACTATAGGGCTCCACGGGCGGAGGATATTCAACCAGCCATTCGACATCCGCCTGTGGCCGCCAATAATTTCGAGATCAATCCCACCCTTGTCACCATGATCCAAAACAATGCACTATTTCATGGCTTAGCAATGAGTCTCCAAGAGAGCATGTTCAGAAGTTAATCGAACTTGAGGGGAGTTTGAAGATCAATGGTGTTTCCTAGGATGCTTTGAAGTTGAGGCTATTCCCCTACTCTCTTGCAGGGAATGTGTCTTTGTGGCTCAAAAGTAGACCGGCTCTCTCGATCACCTCGTGAGATGACATGCTCAACATGTTCATGACTCGGTATTGCCCACTTCAAAGACGGCAAAATGGCGCAAGAAGATCACCCACTTTAAGCAAGAGGAAGATGAGACGGTCACTCTGACTTCTTCCTCCAATGCCCAAATCATGAATTCGAGGAGCAATTCCGGATTGAGACCTTCTATGGCGGTCTCGACCAACAACAAGATCCTCATTGACTCCTTATTTCAAGGGAAATTGATGAACATGACTCCACCCCAAGTGACAGAGTTTCTTGAAGACATGGCAAGTAAAGGGTATTGTAACACCCCGACTTTGGGTTCAGGTTCGACCAAAATACGGGAACGGTTGGGTTAACGGTTACGTACAAAGGGTTGCAACCGTGAATTAGTAATAATAATTTATTATATTATTATTACTAATTAATATTGACAGGTGGTTGAGAATAACGAGCATAAATGGAGTTAGGCGAAGCCGATTAACTTTTCCCATCGTAGCGCACAAAAGCCCAGTAGGGTATAATGTCTTCCCCCTTTCCCCATGAGATTTTTGGTTCTCCGCAACCTTCCATCACCGAGCTTAACTGAACGAAATCCTCCATTCCAAACGAGCCGCCGCCGGCGAGTGCTGCTACCTCTCCTTCATCCAACGGCGATTTGTGTGCTGCCAAACCCCTCCAGCTCTCTCTCAATCCTGTCAAAGCTTTCTGTTGCAGCAGCTACTGTCGTGTCTCTTCCCAGCAGGCGCGGCCTCGTCTTTGTTCCAAGCAGCCACCTGAGCCCTGCGACTTGGCAAACAAATATTCATGATAGCTGAAACGCTGCCAGTTCAGAATCGCCGCTGTCATTAGATTTTGCTTTTGCCTCCGGCAAAGTGGTTAAGGATTTGTAAACCATGGGGAAAGCTTCCAGGGATAAAAATAAAAAGATAGGATATCTACTATAGAAAGGCCAAAGAAGAGGGCTGGCGAGCTCGAAGTGCCTTCAAGCTTCTTCAGGTTGACGAGGTAAAAATAAAAAGCTAGGGTTTCGATTCCACTGCAGAATTGGTTGGGCGCTCGATTCGTCCCTTGGATTTAGGGTTTAGAAAAGTGGAGTGGAAGCGCTGGGGGTTGTCATAAAGGGTCGTGGTATTGATGGTACTCGAAGGTGAAAATGCAAGGCTATGCATGGACGGAAAGGTGAGGAGAGGAAAAGCGCTCGGCACATGTGAACAGATCCTACCCCTGCCAATTCGGTTGTAGAGGGTGATGTGTCTTCGCCTTCTCCGATGCCTAATTCGTTTTACAAGGTCCCATAAAATTGTTATTGGATGGGAGGTAAACAAATCATTCCCTACCCACGTTAATTATAGAACTTCATGGGTTGGGAAACTGTTGTCTTGGAACAAAGGACCAATTGAGCTCTAATGGAGAAGATGGAATCCGCCAAGGCAAATAAGCAATTCCAATCACCCACGTTAATTGTAGAACTTCATGGGTTGGGAAACTGTTGTCTTGGAACAAAGGACCAATTGAGCTCTAATGGAGAAGATGGAATCCGCCAAGGCAAATGAGCAATTCCAATCGCCCTGGAATTAAATATCATATAAGGTGAGTGTAAAGGGGGTAAATTATACGCCTTACGTATTCTTTAAATATTATGATTTTAAGTATTTGAATGAATTGGTTACCATGGATTGATTATTTGTGCTTTGTTTGAACTATGATTTGAGGTGATTTTGTGCTATTTGATGTGATTTGAGGTGATTTTGTGCTATTTACTTTAAAGCGTTATGTTTTATTTAAGTTTAAGTTAAAGAAACAAGTCTTTGTAAAGAAGTAACTCACCTTCAAGAAGGTGAAGTCGTTTTAAGTGTTTTTAGTCACTAGCGCCAGTTCGTTGCCATTTGACATTTTCAGTTAGAGCAGCAGTTATGCTCTTGAGATCTTTGAGACAAAGCAGCAGTTATGCTCTTGAGAGTTTTAAGATGAGCAGCAATTATGCTCTTGAGAATCGTGGTGAAGAGCCACCACGATAAGTTTAAGATGTTAGGGGGATGAATCTTTATGACTTCCCTAACTAAGTTTAAGTTTAAGGAAAGCCTTGATGGCTTCTCATACGTATGAGTTGGCAACCGGACTAGCTAGTGAGCGATCCCAGTGTCAGTCCAGTATTTAAGTCGAGATTTGAGCTTTAAGAATGGAGAGTAATAGTAACTCCCATACAGTTTTAAGAGTTAGAGATTTTAAGATTGGAAGTACAAACAACTTCCACTAGTCAAAGTTAAGTGTTTAAGTAAAGTACTCAAGTATTAGAATTATTAAAACGTAAGGGCGTAGACTGACCCCATCTCACTCACCAGTTTGAGGAGCTAGAGGAGCAGTTAGTGATCAGCGAGTTCGAGGGCAGCCAGCTAGAGGAGGTCGGTGCATGCGTCACAGAGGATGCTTAGTCAAGGTTTCAGTGGCAACAACATTAGAGATTATCAGTTATTTACATTTATGATTATGAGTATAGACTGGAGTTCAGATTGAGATTTAAAGTTTGAGGTTAATTTGCCCACGTGTTAGGGCTTTGCTCTGAACTACAAGGGTGTGTTTTCGGTATTTTATTTATGAAAATTTTCCCCCTGGAATTTAAGATTTGAGCATTTTATTTATCAAGGGCATTTTAGTAAAAGTAGTAGCCGGCCGGGTTAGGCTGTTTCAGGTATGATTGGGGTTTGACGAGAAGTGGAAATGGAAGCACCGCAAGAGGAGTGTAGAGTGTAGGAGCGAGTCCCCCGCTTGAAGCTAAGATTGATCGGTTGATTGATGCACTCCTAGAGGACAAGAAGCATGTGAAGAGGCCGATAATGGCATGTGATTAGTGTTTGAGTACCAACCACGAAATTTTGAAGTTGCAAATGATGAAGGAATCAAGCACCCCGGAGGAGCAAGTGAATTTCATTGCCAATGCTAGAGGGAACAACCCCTATAGCAACACTTTGATTCGGGCCTAATTGTACACTTTTTATCCCCATTTCTCTTTGACTTTTGTTAAAATTGAGCTCCAAAAGGGGTGGTTTTACGCTATGTTTCTTGTGTTTCAGTGTGTTTCAGATTCTAACAGGTAAAACCAACCTTAGAGTCGAAAGTTGGAAGAAAAGGAGCAAAGACCGGGCAAAGAGGATGATCCAACCTGTGTTCACGATCTCCCATGGGAGTTCAAGGTCTCCAGGACCGTGAACTGCAACCACAACCCATGAACCAAGAAGTGAAGCGGTGCATTTTGGCTCAGCTCTGTGTGTTCACTTACGAGTTTTGATGTTCACGGCTGTGACTCAGGCCGTGAACTGGGCACGATCTCAGTATAAAGAGCTAGCTGAAAGGAAGAAGAAGGGGGGAGACCTAGTGTGAGAAACTTCTTCCTCACCAAAGGAGGATCTCTTCAACACAAGGAGCAAGGCTAGTATCTTTTTGATGGTTTTCTTTCTTCTCCTTTGTGTTTTCCCTTCTCCTAACATGGAGTAGTCCCTTCTTTCACTTGGGTTTTTGTAAACCCTATCTACAATTATGTGAATGCTTGTATGAATTGAATGATTTGTGTGTGGTTTTGTTTGATGTGAATGTGGAGTTATTATTCATGAATGATTGCGTTGTGTGAAAGCCTATCAATATAATTTCCATTCTAACCTGGGTAGAGAGAAAACCCCCTTTCCTTTCTTTGAAAGAGGCTTGAATGCTGGGTTTTCTTTGGTAATTCATTGCCTTCTAGTTAGGTTAATGCAAGGAAAACCTCCTATTTCGTATTAACACTTAGGGTTTGGTTGTGGGTGGTCGTCTGAACTCCAATTCGAGGGTGAAGTCTAACCATTCCTTAGTCAATAGGTTGAGTGGGTTGCATTAGTGGCTTGGATTGTATCCCATTTCCTCGACCTAGAGGGTAAGAGGGTAGCTTTGGCTACTTGTTAGACTTCCTTGCGGTTTATAACCTCCTAACCACACACGGTCATTTGATCCTTCAAGTCGTAATTGTTATCTAGGGGGAGCAACACCCCGGTGAAGCCTTCTCAATTAGTGTCAAAACCATTTCATTTTTTTAAATTACTTTAGTTTTTAGATCTTTGTTTTGACCAAAACTATCCGCTAGATAATGTTTCAAACAATCGAAGTAGCGGTACATGGGCCGGCCCGGGTCGATATTTAAACATACTTGCCCCATATTGCACCCATCTAAGATTTATACTTGGGCCTTAGGTGGGATTTTATTGTGACAGTCTGAGCGAGTCAAGTTTTTGGCACTGTTGCCGGGGAACTTCGGTCCGTTATCGTGAAAAGTTTGTTTGGTGTTAATGTAGCTTTTATTTTCAGTTTTGCTAAATGTGAAGTTTGTTTGTGCTAGACGTGTTGTGTTCTTTAAGTGTGTGTAGGGAGGTGCATGACCCGGAGAAATCCGGCGCCTTTAACACCACTGGACGAGGACATCAACCATACTCTCCAAATTTTAGCTCGAGAGAGGGATCAAGTGGAGGCAAGAAGTAGAAGTTAAGAAAGGGGACAACAAGTTGGTCTCGGGTTTGAAAGAATTGAAGAAGAAGTCAAAGTTGAGATGGCGGGGAATCAACGCTGAGGGGCTAATCTGCTTCAAAATGTTAAAGCGGGAACCAAGGAAGAGCCAAGGAATATGGGTATTACACGTCTCCACAGATAGGAGATATCCAATCTCCAATTTTACATCCACTCGTGGTCGCCAACAACTTTGATATCAAGCCCACTCTTGTGACGATGATTCAAAACAACGCCTAATTTCATGGGCTTGCTCATGAATCACCACGAGAGCATGTCCAAAGGTTTCTTGAGCTAGCAGGAAGCTTGAAGATGAATGGCGTGCCCGAGGAGGCATTGCGGTTGAAGCTTTCCCCTATTCTTTGGCGGGGAAGGCACTCCGATGGCTCAACAACCGTCCGGCTCTATCCATCACTGATGACTCGATATTTGCACATGTTTTCCCCTCTGCTTCTTGATCTTTTATGCTTGCATTCTCGCTTCTTTGGCCTATTTTACTCTAGGTTGTGTTCTTTTGTCACATTTCAGGTACTAGTATATAGAGTGAAGCTTAGGCGCAAGTTTCAAGTCAATCGGAGATCAATTAGCGATTCGGGAAAAGAAACTCGGGCATGACATGAAGAAGAATGGATATCTACCTCATTTATGGACAAAGAATTATGAAAGATTGTCATGAAAAGAAAGAGGACAAGACTACAAGCGTCTGGGATCAAACGGGGACTGATTCAGAGTTCGAACGAGGGAGAAACGAAGCATTGAATATAGGGAACATGTTCGGCAGATAAAACACGGGCAGACTACGCTAAAAACACGACCGTGTTTCATCTTGCTCCTGCTAGTATTTTTTATGCCAAGCCTATCTTGTGAAGACTGCTGAAGGGATTTAAAACACGGGCGGGACCAACACACGGACAGGACTAAACACGTTCGTGTTTTTGTCCCTGCTCAGGTATAAGTCTGTTTTCTGCGAATTTTAGAGGGGGAGAGCGGGGTTTTGGATCCCAAACACCCAAGGGACGAACCAAAGAGAGAGAGAGAGAGAGAGAGAGAGAGAGAGAGAGAGAGAGAGAGGGCGATTTGAGGGCAATCTTGGATTGGAATTGGGGGATTTCTTCGCCTTGGAAGCTCAAGGAACAAGCCCAGACTTGAAGACTAATCATCTGAAGATTCTTATTGCAGTCTCTCTCTTCTCTATGGAGTAACTTCCCTTCACTTAGGTATTGAGGAACCCCAGCTATGTTTGTTTGATTGGATGATTTTTTTAGTACCCTTACTTGATAATCTTGAGTTCATATTCAATCTATGCATGTTTTCATGATTCAATTCTGCTTTAGTCGAGATTATTGATTCTGCTTTGATCCTATGAGAGCGAATACCTAATTAGGTCAATAGAGCGCCATAGATTGATAGTATTGGATCGATTTCTTTACTCGAGGGTTGATCGCCCGTACGAAAAATAGGCAAGGGTATCTATCGTTCTACGGTAGTATAGCAGGAAGCAAGGTCGTATCCACAGAGACTTCATGTACTAGTACTCAGCTTTTACCTATTATCTAGTCAATCGTTTTTAGTTGATTTTCGTTTAGAAATAAAAACACACGCAATAATAAAAATACAATAAAGTAGTTTTCAAAGTAAAATCATGTGGAGAAGGCGTTGTCCCGGATGTGAATCCCCCTAATATGCATTTTACAGACAAGTTGAATTTAACATAGACGAGTGTTAATATCTTAGACCGTGAAAATTCCCAATTTAGTGTTAACCCGTTCGCACATGTATTAACACCCTTTCGACTTAAGAATCAAGTGAAACCGTGGCTTACAAAAATCTTAAACCAAAGGAATAACCAAATTTATGAATTTTTGTACAAGGTTTTTAACCTAATCCGGAGGAACTACGTGACCCCATCGCCGGTGGCTCCGATCAATTCCTTCTTTTCACAAGGGATCTAACATGCAAAATTACCTCGCAGTCTCATTTACATGTATCAGACAAAATATACAATAGACGCGTACTATTGATACTTGCACATGATAAGTCGAGAAAAGATCGTAAGAACGAGAACAACACGTCTATATCAAAGATACCACTCAATCATTGTAAAACATATTAGGGTTCATCAAATCCAGAACAACTAGAAGATTAGCCGGACATGATGAGATTTAGAGAGATGAAGGTTGAGAACATTACCATGATGATGACGACGAGGAAGAGGGAGGGGTTGAGAATACGGTATGTATATTGAGTTAATAGATTACACCTAGCAAACTTCCGACGTGGGAATAATCGTTGGGCGAAGACGGTGGAAACCGACCAATCTACCACCACAAATGATTATCAAAACCCCACAGAATAGAAGCTCACTTCGGTAATCTCAATAACGCAATATACCACGGTATTCCCAAATACGAACACAAACATAAGAACCACGATGGATGAAATACGAGATATGATTAACGAAATGAAAAGAAGTAATAAGAGTTTGGAATGAAAATGGACAGAGTTTCGGCTAACTTCAAATACAAGAAAGGGAGAAAAAATATATCTCTAGTGTGTGTGTCCTCTCCCTCTATTTATAGTACAAATTGAGCTACTTGCTTGAGCTACTTGCTTGAGATTTGCAGGCCAGCTACTTGCTTGTTGCTCGACCGCTTTGATAATGGCCAGCTGCTTGCTTTCATTCATGGACGAGGCAGCTACTTGCTTTCAAATAATGTACGAGCTTGCTTTTAGTTATGTATGAGCTATAATGGACGTGCTTGCTTCATTATTTGGACGTGCTTGCTTGTCCATTTAATTCTCCAGCTTGCTCCAATTAAATTGACCTAGTAGCTTGCTCCTACTTAACGTGATTTGCACCAGCTACTAGCTTCAGCTACGATCGAGCGACAAAGGCAAGGGAGGAGGAGCTGCTTGCTTAGGACGTCGATGCAGCTGCTTACTTCCCGAATAATGGACCTGCTTGCTCCTACGTATGGACCAGCCTGCTTCCCAAGTAATTGACCAGCTAGCTTCTATTTTTGGGACCAGCTTGCTTCTTCATTTGACACCAACCATCCTCCAGCTGCTTGCTTCTTTATTTGGACGTGAGCCACTAGCTACAACTACTAGCTTCCCTTGAGAATCCCAAAATGAACCAGCTTTCCTTATGTTTGGCAGTTTGCGGTTTGACTCTACAGTTTGCGGTTTGACTCTCTTTCTGTGTTCATCACCATAATAAACGATGGGTTTCGTATATTGATAACAAAAGGGGACGCGGCTGAAGTGGTACGGCTCTTTGCCCTCGCCTGGGACGTCGCAGGCTCGAGTTCCACCGACGCCAGATTTTGAACCCTAACCATCTTTTTGTTGAATTGACTCATTATTCCGTTCTTATTGGATAGAAAACCCTGAAACATGACTCAAACACAAAATCAAGCATAAAATCGGGAAATCGAATGAACTTGGTTCAATTTATGTTATTTTAGGATGTAAAAGTGTAGGCGGATATATGTATAATTTAGGTGTTATCAAATTCTCCCACACTTAATCCTTTGCTTGCCCTCAAGCAAAGCACGAAAAATGTAAGTTCAATCAAAACCAATTTCACAAGAACTCTAACTGTGAGTTGGGAAAATGTGAGTTTCATATGATTGCTAAAGTTGGTGCAATAGGTAGCGAGTTATGGATGCGTTCAACCACCACAAACAACATTCGATCATAATACTCCTGTGACATTGGCAACTCTGACTCAGATTTATAAGAACATTCTTCTATCTTTATTAGTCATTTGACACAATCAATTGTTCAAGCATAAGGTTCACAAAACATACCATGAGAGATCAAGCCAATAGATCTTACTTGGGATTTTAGAACTTGGAAAGTCTCTCTCACTCAACCAGTTGAGTCAGGGTAAATGCATGTAGCATGTAATTATCACTCTTTTGAAGAATGACTCCTATTTATCATAAGTGCATGAAAGATGGTGGCCAACTGATCACTTTTTTTTGTCTTTGTTAATTTTTTGTTCTTCGAGTGGCCAACAATTCCATTTTTGAAAAATGCACTTACATAAATCGTTTCTCCCTATCTCAACTTTTGTATTTAATAAATGAAGCAGAAAGTTATTCGTTTAAACCATTCACACG